CAGTCTCCTCTGGCAAGGAGTTCCACAGGTTGACTACACGCTGTGTGAAGAAGAACTTTCTTTTATTAGTTTTAAATCTGCTACCCATTAATTTCATTTCATGTCCTCTAGTTCTTCTATTATGGGAACTAATAAACAACTTTTCTTTATTCACCCTCTCCATACCACTCATGATTTTATATACCTCTATCATATCCTCCCCTCAGTCTCCTCTTTTCCAAACTGAAAAGTCCCAGTCGTTTTAACCTCTCTTCATATGGGACCCATTCCAAACCCCTAACCATTTTAGTTGCCCTTTTCTGAACCCTTTCCAAGGCCAAAATATCTTTTGAGGTGAGGAGACCACATCTGTACACAGTATTCAAGATGTGGGCGTACCATAGTTGAATGCCTATGATCATGCTGTGGTGATGGCAAATACTGTGGTGAGGGTCTCTGTTGTCGAGGCATGAGAATAACATGACTTTCCTGTTGTAGTGGTACTGAAAAGACAGGGGCTGGTGACTGCGGTTGGGGAGAGAAAGCAACCGGTTCCGGGCTTGGGGAAGGTGTTAATACCCTTCTGGATTTATGCTTAGCCTTTCCCTGCATCGGAGAAATGCATGGTGCAGTGTGAGACCTATGTTGTATTGGTGCCACGGAGTGCCTTGTAAAAGGGTCCGCTGTATGCTGTGCCGATGATTCAATGGCACTGCGCACCTATGTACTTGGTGCCGTCATGGTGGTCGGTGCCGATGCCAGTGTGGATGAGCCGCTCTGTGAGGGTACCGGATGTTGTACCTCGGTGTTTTTGTACCTCAGTACCTTCGGTGGTCTGGACTGTCAGTGTCAGCATCGTCTGGTCAGGGTTGTCCTGGCGCGCTCCTGACAGGACCTCTACTCCGTTGTTAAACTTTCGGCTGCGTGCGTAACAATCGGTACTCCCTTTATATAGAGCGTTAGACCCCGTGCACTTGGGTCAACACAAGAGATCTCTGAGAGGCCCCGGAAACGACAGATGCAGGCAAGGTTTGAAATCAGTCGAGCAGGTTTATTGTCAAATGCGAAGCTCTACCAGTTGGTAAGAGAGATCAGTACAATGTTACACCACTGGGCACTATGGCCCGCGTTGACAAGGTACCAACACCGGGCAGGCCTATTGCCATATAACAGATATTAACAGCAGTTAGTCAAAGTGAAGCTACTGTGCATTCTGTAAGTTTAGGCAATGACCCCTGCCGTTCAGGCGCTGCTGCGGCCCCCCCCCCCCCCCCCCAGGTCGGCCGGAGAGCACCCTCTGCGGTGTCCTTTTATAGACAGGTACAAACAACTTACATCATTTCTTTACGCACCAGGTTACCACCCTCTGTTGCCTAGTTACCACCCCTCACCTTATGGAAGGGGAGCTTACTTACTATCCTTCATGCTGTCAATCTCGATCTGGTCCCGAACCTAGGTCGGTATGTGCATTAGTTTTTAGGGAGTTTTTGTACCAAGACATTTCTTCTTAAGATGTTCCAATACTCCCCTTTGGCTCACAGTCTGTACCCAGTACCTCCCAGTGTCCTTCCATGCTCGACCTAACTTACACAATCACACAATTTATCAATAGGGCCTCTTTCTTGGCTCCTGTTACTGAACCAAAGTCTTGCTCACTAGATTGCAGGTCTGTTGCTGTTTTCATGTTACAGGCTTCTATTTAGGCCTGCTGACTCCATGTTACTGACCCTCAACTTACTACACCGGAGACGGTTCCAAAGGTGGCGGTGTAGTAGCCAGTGCCACAGTAGCCGGTGCCATAATGGGTAGTGCAGGGCCAACCAGTGCCATTGGCGTCGGTGCCAACATCGGTGCGGGTGTCGAAGCCGAGACATGTGCGGTCGTCGGTGCCACAGTCTTTCTTTTAACAGGAGCCGGGGCAGATTCAGGTCTTAGGGCTGTGGCTGGTGCCAGAGTAGCCTCCCTATAAAGGAAAGGACTTGGCTCCGATATGCTGTGGCTTGACTTGTGCCTGTCAGCATGCAGGGGTACCATCGATCCCGAGGTACCTGGCTTGTCCCCCACACTCCTGGCCTTGCACGTGTTGGCTGTTAGCTGTTTGCAGTGCTGGCACTGTGGAAAAGTGTGTGCCTGTCCCAAGCACCGGACATGTTGTGAATGCCCATCAGAGACGGGAATTGAAAGCTTGCAGGACAGGCAGCGTTTTAAGCATGTTTTAGCTGGAGAGCAACTGAGGTTCCAATTGACACCGGTGGTGGCAGAGAAGGAATTGAAGGGACAGTCGGCAGTGAATGCATAGTAGCAGCACTGCGTGGGCTGTCCGCTATACATGTGCAGGGTATCGGAGGGCACTGCCTTCAAAAATCTCTGACTAGGCGTGCAACGGCGCTCCCGACACCTAAGGTGGAGCACCCATAGCGACGCTCCTCAAGGAAAAACCATTCTTCTTTCAGTGCTTGCTCATATATATTCCAAAACTTGTGGAGATCAGGAGAGGTCCCGGACAATTGGAAAAAGGCAAATGTAGTGCTCATCTTTAAAAAAGGGAAGGACTATCCAGGGAACTACAGACCAGTATGGCTATATATGGGTCCAGGTGCTAGCTGTAAAGAACTCAGTGCAGGCACACATTATGATAATATGTAACTCTTTTGCCAGCAGCAACCAAGGCCAGGTTCAATACCTAGGGTTTCCTTTTTGACAATACAACACAAAATCAGTTTGAGTCCCTACCCAGTAACCTAGAAAAATTACATGCCATCCAGTGTTCCCTCTAAGGTGCCCAGCAGAACAGCTTCACAGGTGATTAATCAGCCCCATTCAGTCAGTCAGCTGAGCCTCTGACTGGCTGGAGCTGATTAATCACCTGTGAAGCTGTGCTGCCCTGCAGTTTAGAGGGAACACTGACACCACCCCACAGAGAAGCTATACTTTCCCACTCACAAGCACAGAATATTAATTAGAAAAAACACCATAAGCAGGATTCGCAATAATAAATCTGTGAGCCGGACACTCACCCCAGAGTGCCTGGGGCAGTATCTTCTGCCTCATGTTCTTGAGTTCTACAACCAAAAGTTCCTTTTCTATGCCCTTCTCTGGTCCCTCATACCCTAGGCACAGCAGTTGTCCTTGGTCAGTGAGGACCCAGGGTTCAGAGGTGCATCTGTCTGAGTTCACTTCCCACCCAAGGAAGAGGGCACTCTGCTTGCTTTGTCATCTGAGCATTTGCTCTGGATGGCTGTCCTGCAAACCTGCAGTTCCTCTCCGTTGGCCGCCCTGCCAGCCACTTGTTCCACTTTTCCCTTCCACCTGTTGGCTGCTTGCTCCCAACAGCTACACCTGCCAGTGGACTGCTGGCCACTTCTATTGGCCTACTATTTGCTACTCTTGTGGGCTGCTTGCTGATCCCATCAGCTGACTGTCAATTATCATCTGCTGCCATCCTCCTCTCTGCTGTTGGCTCTGCATGTCAGTCCGGTAGTGACTGGCAGCTCAGTGATTTTCAAGTTTGGCAGCCTTGGCAGAAAACACTGTCCCACCACAACTGATTTTAGCTCTTATTTAGGCACTTAAAATAGCAAAGTCTCCTAATGGAGCCTAGTATCAGAGGGGTAGCCGTGTTAGTCTGAATCTGCAGAAGCGATGAGGAGTCCTGTGGCACCTTATAGACTAACTGAAGTGTAGGAGCATAAGCTTTCGTGGGCAAAGACCCACTTCGTCAGATGCATGTAGTGGAAATTTCCAGAGGCAGGAATAAATATGCAGGCCAGGATCAGGCTGGAGATGACCAGGTGGATCCAATCAAGGAGGATGAGGCCCACTTCTAGCAGCTGATCTGGAGGTGTGAATTCCAAGAGAATAGAAGCTGCTTTTGTAGTTAGCAAGCCATTCACAGTCTTTGTTTAATCCAGAGTTGATTGTGTCAAACTTAAAGATGAACTGTAGCTGCCTAGTTAGCTCTATCTTTGAACAATGGGGAGAAACGTGTTAAACCAGATGAAGGGCCCGCTAGGGCAGTGATTCCCAACCTTTTTCCCATGAAGGAACGCCTAAAATAATTTTTCATATCCCGAAGAACCCCTACTTATGAAAACGTTTGCTTGGTCAGAAAAAGTTGATAGCGGGGAGCGCAACTCAATTACTGCTAAATTATTGTCAAGAAAATTTATTTGTAAAGAGCTGTTTATATATATCAGCTTACAGTGTAAGAAAAAAATTATTTATTTATTCCATGATTTCTCGCGGAACCGCTGACAATGGTCTGCAGAACCCCAGGGCTCCACGGAACCCTGGTTGGGAAACACTGTCCTAGGGAGAGTCCTCACTTCCTAGTTGGGACACCAATTCCCACTCCTTCTACCTTCACAGGAGTCTGGCATTCAAGCCCCTGGCTTAACAAGATCCTTTCAGATGAGGAAAACACCCTCATTTGGGACAGGTTAAGCACAGTTCTGCTTCCCTTTGTTCATGCAATAAAGACAACAACACTGTTAACATTTGACTACTCCTTCATTCAGTAGCAAGGTGATTTATAACCCAACACCTACCAAAGTTGATCACTTTGAGCAACTCAACTCTAGCTGCTGGCTAAGTTGGCAGAGTAGGCATGTTCATGTAAACACAGTATGCTCCTGAAGTCTCTCCCCGTCCCAGCCCGCTAGCTGACAGGAGAGAACTTAGTCAGACTCTGCTTACACATATACTTGGTGATAATTTACAGCAAAGACATGACAACAACAAAAATTGTGGCCAGTATTTTTTTCATTAGAAAATTATTCCTCCTTGGAATGAACACTAATATCAGAAAAAGCTCATTGCTATTCTATTGAAAGTGTCTTACTTTATATTAATAGGCTTTCTACAGGTGAAAGACAAACAGGTAATTTTCTAGCAAATAATATAGCGTGGCCTCTTTACCAACATATTTGGGGGACTCCTGATTTTATGTAGTAATAAAAAACACAAATCAGTATACAGCATACCATATATGTATTAAAATAGAAAAATATCTGGAAACTCACCACTAGGTTTCCTATCACCATGACAAGCAAGAAGACTAGAAGGCACAGTGGTTGCCCAGCTACCACCATACAATCCCACATGGTCTCAATCCATTCTCCACACAGAATTCGGAATACAATAAGGAACGAGTGGAAAAAATCCATCATATGCCAACGTGGCTTGCCGTCCTCGTTTATTTTACGGCAATGTTCATTATAGCTTTTCCCAAAGAGTTGCATTCCTACCACAGCGAAAATAAAGACTATGATGCCTAGAACCAGGGTGAGGTTACTCAGGGCTCCCACTGAGTTACCAATAATTTTAATGAGGGTATTTAAAGTTGGCCAGGACTTAGCCAGTTTGAAGACTCTCAGCTGTGCAAAAAATAAAACACAGCATTAGAAAACAGAAGATGAGATATTCCTCACATTGCATTGTTAAAAACATTTGCAGACTTTTTAAACTATTCACACACTGTGGCATGTAAGGTATTTTAAAGTCATTATATGATCAATGCAATATTGACACTGTCCTCTATCTCTAGCTGTTGGTGTCTTTTTGCTTGCAGGCCCTCCAGGGCAATGCCTTTTTTATTTATCTTTATACAGACTCCAAACTAATGAGATCCCCCTCCTAACTCTGGTCTTTGCCCAGTTTCATAACTTAAGACCCCTACTAGAAATTCATTGCCAACTTGCAACTGAATTTCTCAGGATATAATCTTGGGGGACAGCGAATTGGCAGATTTCATTCTTCCTGTATTTCTATATCTCCTAGAAACAGTACTTCAATAATCTTCCTGATGAATTTAATTTGTACTTCAGTTGCATTTACAATAATCAAACTTTTATATGCAAATAATTTTAGACCCATAACTCTAAATTGGTAGGAGTTAGGGGCAGTGTTCTCTGTAAGCCATGTGCTTGTGCAGCCAGTCAGATGAAATCCAAATTCCACCCAGCTGATTAACAGAGCATCTGATTTGCACATGTCTCGGAGCACATAGAATGTATTCTGCACATGGAAAAAATTCACACATGGATACAAAAGATAAGCAGTAACATTGGTTATAGGTTTTCATTACCTCTATAAATGAGGCCATTTACCTATCTTGACATTTTTATACCATGCATCACCATAGCATACAAGGCACTGAACCAGTAAAACTCTGTAAGAACATGCTTAATTTTGAACATGTGAATATTCCTATTGACACCAATGTTTATATGGATACATAAGCCAACCACCTCCCTAAAACTCAGTCTAGCAGATGTATCTAGCAATTATACAATATAAATAATGCCTATTTTATTACTATTTTTCTCCATCTTCAACTCTTCTTCATCTTTCTCAGTCTCTCTGCTTTTGCTTTTCATTCTGTTCATTCTCTGCTCCAGCTTTTATTATATGTTAATGTTGGATTTTTTCCTATCTCTTTCACTCCAAATATTTTAACCATCTCCAAGTGAAATACAAATGCTTTATTAGTTTCAGTTACATCCACATTGGTTTGAAATCAGACAAAATGTCTCTCCCATTTCTAGTAGTGAGAGTTTACAAGTTAATTTTTCTTGCACTGAAATGTTCTCTATTATATTCATGCCAAAGATTTTATGAGATTGAATAAGTATGAGACATTACCAGTCGGAAAGAACGTAAAATTGGTAGGAGTCCTCTTTTGCTTTTTCCCTTGGGAAAAATCAGTTCAATTAAGCTGAGGATGACAATTAAGCTGTCAAAAATATTCCAGCGCTTCTGAAAATAATAATAAGGATCTAGAGCGATGATTTTCAAGATCATTTCTGCAGTAAAAATGCCAGTAAAGACCTGTGGAAAAAAAACCAGTGATGTCAGTCAAAAGGGCACCATAAGCATATCTTCTCTAAACTACATTCCCTTAAGTAGCAGATCCTACTTTTAGCATATATTTATTCATATAATACGTTGTCAATACAAACTCTAAGCTTTTTTGCTACATTCTAAAGGATGTTTAGAAAATTCGAAAACTAAAAGTAATGTCTGGGAACCCCATATTGATTGATTGATTGGTAGGAAGGACGGGAGGGAGGAAGGGAGGGAGGGAGGAAACTATTCTTTGTATTCTGGGAAAATATCCATAAATTCATTTCTGAAATAGAATATCAGAATTCACTTACCATGTTGCCTATGCGAAGCATGGATTTAAATGTGTTTGTCATATTGTAGTGCTCTAGTGCCATGAAGATAGTATTAATCACAATGCAAACAGTGATAGTGAGGTCAGTAAATGGATCTGTTACTAAAATTGTCACTTTCTTCTTGATTCTCAACCACAATGGACAACAGTCCCAAACCAGGTACTTTATGGCAAAGTTTTTCACGCATTGAGGGCATTTTTGTTGTGATTCTTCAAGTTCTTAATGCCAAACAAAAAACAAAGCAACAACCAGGTAATCAGTATTGAGCCATAAGCCAAAGAAAAACTGCACCTAGAGAAAGAACAGTTCCCCAACCCCCTAAACTCCATCACTTCAAAAGTAATCAGGGAACTCTTCTTGACACTTTCTGAAATCATATAATTCATTTTGTACAGAAGTCACTTCTTCACTCTCCCATAATTTTAAAGACAATTCTCACGTCAGTGAATTGGTATTTAAATTCATTTTCTTCAGACAAGGCCCAAATTCAAAAACCCACTGAACTTCAGCAGGCATTGATTCAGGCCTTTGTTCTTTTTATATATACACTCCTACTGTCAACGCCATTAGAAATTATGACTGAGGTAAAATCTTGCTTCAGATGCACCAAGGAATATATAACTTAACACTACTTTTGTGCTTTCTGTCCCAGTTACATGTCATAAACCTTATATGCAATATCACCAAGGACCATGCTGCATACAATAAACAGCTCTGAGATTAATGCCAAAGTGAAGTGTCTATATTACAATTAAATTTTGTAAAATGAGGAGTCCTATGACACCTTAAAGACTAACCGATTTATTTGGGCATAAGCTTTCATGGGTAACAACCACATTATCAGATGCATGGAGTGAAAATCCCATTACATATTGATTAGATCCACTTCATATGATATCACACCTGAATTTTAGGAAAGTTTCAAATTCACTTAAAGCCAAAGTAATGGAGGAAAATCCCAGAACAGGCACATAAATAACATTTATTAGGTTCCAAATTGTATGTGAATCTGGACAATGATGGTGGAAACAACTATTCTCAAGGATCTGAGTGAAGAAAAAGATGGCATCTGGTGTATAGCCCTCATTTAACTAAAAACATTATTTTGGGTTGAGGAAGCCTCTGCTGATTGGCTGAGCGTTGGTAGGGGGAGGGACTTTCAGGCACTCCAGGGCTTTATAAGGCAGTGGGCAAGCAACCAAGGAGCTTGCGAACAGGTGAGTGCTAACAGGGAGTTTGGAAGGAGAGAGGGAAGGGGGCGAGGTTCTCTTGCCTTTCTTTTTAAATCCCTTCTCCAGGACAGCAGCGACGGATCGTGATAGGTCTGCTGTTGTTACCTGCACTGCGTGTGCCATGTTTGTCTTCCTCCCGGAAGAAAGAATGGATTTCATCTGCACGAAGTGCAAGCTGGTCGACATTTTGGAAGAAAAAATTAGAGGACTGGAGGCCCAAATGTCGACCCTACACTCGATCAGAGAGGATGAAGACTTCCTCGATATAAGGCAGCGTTTAATCCTTCAAGCACGGCAGGCTGAGGAGCCAGAGAGGGCAGTATGTGAACAGGAAGAGAACTGGCAGCATGTAACTTCTAGAAGGGGGGAAAGGCCAGCATGGGAATCCCCCAATGCTATAGAGGTAAATAATCGCTTTCAGGCTCTCTCCACAGGCTCTACAGTGCTGAATGCTTTGGAAGGGACCTCACAAGGAAGAAACCGGAAGGGAACACCATCCACTGGAAGGCATGGGATGTGTAGTACTAGGGATGGGGGTTCCACCCCCAAAAGAAAATGACGGGTGGTGGTGGTCAGGGACTCCCTCCTAACAGGGACTGAGCCATCCATCTGCTGTCCGGACCTGGAATCTCAAGAGGTGAGCTGTTTACCGGGAGCTCGCATTCAGGATGTGACTGAGAGGCTTACCAAACTGATCAAACCTTCGGATCGCTACCCCTTTCTGCTTCTCCACGTGGGAACTAAGGATACGGCCAAGAATGACCTTGAGCGAGTTACTTCGGATTATGTAGCGCTGGGAAGAAGGATCCAAGAATTCGGAGTGCAAGTGGTGTTCTCATCCATCCTCTCTTTGAAGGGAAAGGACTGGGCAGGGATCGTCGAATTGAGGATGTAAATGCGTGGTTGCGCAGGTGGTGTCGCAGAGAGGGCTTTGGTTTCTGCAACCATGGGACTCTGTTCCGGGCACAAGGATTGTTAGGAAGAAATGGGATCCACCTAATGAAGAGAGGAAGGAGCATCTTCGTGGGCAGGCTTGCAAACCTAGTGAGGAGGGCTTTAAACTAGGTTCGTCAGGGGATGGTGACCAAAACCCTGAGAGGAGTGGGAAAGTCGGATACTGGGAAGAAATGCAGAGAGGAACGAGCATGAAAGGAGGACCCCTGATTCAAATGGAGAAGATAGGATGATCAACTGGTTACCTAAGGCGTTTGTACACTAATGCGAGAAGCCTGGGCAACAAACAGGAAGAACTGGAGGCCCTGGCCCAGACCAAGAAATATGATTTAATTGGGATAACAGAGACTTGGTGGGATGACTCACATGACTGGAGCGCTGTCATGGTAGGGTATAGACTGTTCAGGAAGAACAGGCAGGGGAGAAAAGGAGGAGGAGTTGCACTATATGTAAGAGAGCACTATGATTGCTCTGAACTCCAGTATAAAGAGGGAGAAAAACCTGTTGAGAGTCTATGGGTTAAGTTTAAAGGAGCAAACAACAGCAGTGATGTTGTGGTTGGTGTTTGCTACAAGCCACCGAATCAGGTGGATGAGGTAGATGAGGCTTTCTTCGGACAACTGAGAGACGCTTCCAGATTGCAGACCCTGGTTCTTGTGGGGGACTTTAATCACCCTGACATCTGTTGGGAAACCAATACGGCAGTACACAGGCAATCTAGGAAGTTTTTGGAGAATGTTGGGGATAATTTCTTGACACAAGTGCTGAAGGATCTGACCAGGGACCATGCGCAGCTTGTCCTTTTGCTCACAAACAGGAAGGAACTAATAGGGGAAGTAGAGGTGAAACTGGGAAGCAGTGATCATGAGATGGTAGATTTCAGGATCATGACCAAAGGAAGAAAAGAGAGTAGTAAAATACACACCTTGGACTTCAAAAAAGCAGATTTTGACTCCCTCAGAGACCTGATGGGCAGAATCCCCTGGGATGCTAACATGAAGGGGAAAGGAGTCCAGGACAGCTGGCAGTATTTTAAAGAAGCCTTATTGAAGGCACAGAAAG